CTCTAGGTGGAGCCTACAGATTCCCAACATCAGCAGAGGCAGGACTCTCAAATATTCTCGTGCTGTTTTCATGAACTTGAGTATCCCATATATGGGAGTGTTTTTTAATCATCTGTTTCTGTGTTTGCACATGTGAACATAACATCTTGATTTTAGAAACTGAAATAAGCACCTTCTGGACTTCTAAATGCTTACAGTTGCATGTATACATTCAATTCCAGTTTCACACTTGCAGAAAAAAAGTAATACTCAAATTTTTTCCATGTTTTACTGCAAATGTCTTCCTGATTTTGAATAATCGGTGTCAGCCCTGAAAAAACATACTGGTCGATATATCACAACTATGATCAAAGTTGAGATAAAGCTCTTAACCCGGATGCTACAGTGCATGTAAACACATCCATCCATCCATTATCTATACATCACTTAATCCTCACTCGGATCGCAGGGAGCTGGAGTCTATCCCAGCTGACTCAGGGTGAAGGCAGGCTTCATCCTGGACAGGTCACCAGTCTATCACAGAGCTACACTTAGAGACAGACAACCAAGCACACTCACATTCACACCTACGGACAATTTAGAATCAAACAGTCCAAAACTTTTTTGTCCAAAATCTTTTTAGACTGTTTGAAGAACCCGGAGAGAACCCACGCTGCACAGAGAGAACATGCAAACTCCACACAGAAACATCCCAGGCGTCCTAACCGGGGATCTTAAAGAAAGAAAAAAAGATTAAACTAAAGACTAAAGGCAAGATTCTTTTAGAAGGTTGAAGAATCAGAGAGGAAGCACTCTGCAGGGTCGCTGGAAGGCTGGAGTCTATCCCAGCCGACTCAGGGTGAAGGCAGGCTTCATCCTGGACAGGTCACCAGTCTATCACAGGGCTACACTTAGAGACAGACAACCAAGCACACTCACATTCACACCTACAGACAATTTAGAATCACCAGTTAACCTCAGCATGACTTTGGACTGTAGGAGGAAGCCGGAGAACCCGGTGAGAACATGCAAACTCCACACAGAAAAACAACAGAACCCAGGACCTTCTAGCTATGAGGTGACGATGTTAGCCACCATAGAAAAACCAAACTGAGCTTCCTTCCAAGCCTTCGCAATAAAGTTTCAGCTTCATTTTCAGTGTGGTGTGTTGCTGTCTGGTTTGTAGAACACTAAGAGCCAACAGCTAGTCAACACACAAGATCCTGTTATGCAATGACCATAAGGAGGTTTAATTACAGGTCAGAGAGGGTACTTGAACCTACAGGCAGCAGGTGACTGAAGGGATGCATTGCGCTTTTATAATACAGATGCTCTGCAATGCTTGAATTTTAAGAAATGTGCATGTCTGGAATGAAAACAGATCCAGACGAAGGTTTTGTTCGTTCATTACATTCGAGGCTCTGTATCTGCTGAATGAGGACGCATCTTCTGGGCTTATGTTTTGTGGAGAGTGGTCTCTTAGCACTGTCTGATGTCGTAAATCACTTACGAACACCAGCAGCATGAGGATTTACAGCAACCATGCTGTCCATGTATGACTGATTACGGGATTGGTTATGTTCCCATAGCTGGAACCAGAAATAGCTCCACCAGTTTGGAGCTGTGCCATGTGGTGTCTTTTTTATTTCTTATTTGTATTTTTTGTCTCCAGGGCCGCAAAGTAAAACACGATCACTGCATAAATAGAGAATAGAGGAGACGCGCCGTAACTCCTCTCTCCATCTACCACCAAACAGATGAGCGACAGCGGAGGTAGGTAACGGTGAAGGAGACGATAAACACCAACGCAACGCTAACTGCGACAGCCTCAGCAGTGTCTCCCGTCTATCGGGCCGTGTGGGAGCCGGCACACTCTGACACAGTTCTCAGATATGGTCAGCCTGACACCATGTTCACCACCAAAGCATCTACTCTGGTTCTTTATTCATCCTGTTTCTCATTCATCTCGCTGAGGCTTCACCCCTGTTTCCCCCTGAGAATAAACAAACTCCATCTTGCTCTGTCCCACATATTTCCTCACTATTTAAAAATATGTGACAAGTCAGCATTTTCAAGCAGTTGTTTCCAACTTATGCATCAAAAAAATAAAGATAACTGAAACTAGTTCATTATTCCTGTTGGATTCTTATGACAGGAAATCACAACAAGCCCTTCAACCCTGTGTCTATTATTTACAACAGCATGCAACCCCACATGTTACTTATCTAGCACTGAGCCTATAATAAGCACAAGTTTTTTGCGGACTTGGAGGTGGGGGGGGGACTTGTTGGCTTGTTTGTGTTATGAAAACTGGAAAGCGAGTTGGGGGTTGGGACCAAAGCAGCAGCCAAAACACCTATTAATACACTGATAGCTGCCTGGCCAGAGCAGGCTGTTCCAGAAAGTTTCCCACGGAGAGATGAACAGTCACACTGTAAAGTCCAGAAGCAGGAAACATTCGGTGGTATTCAAAAGTCAGGCAATGGACCTGCTCCCAGATTGATGTCTTGGGTGTGAGGATTACAACTTGGCAACGCTAGACGGAGAGGGCAACGGGTGTTCCTGAAGACACTTGGCTCAAATTGCAATTATAGATAGGAACACGCAAAGAAAAACAGAAAAACGTGGGGCTATGTCTGACAAAGGCTGAGGATGGTTTTACAACAATATTAGGGAGTCACTGTTACATACAGCAGGTTTCATTTTTATATGGATCGGTCGCAGCAAGTAACATGAACAACTCGTACAAAGAGAGCCAATCCTGGCGGTCTGTAGGGGTTTTCTGGTGATTGTGCACGGAGAGGAGAATGGAAATCACCCCGGAGAAATGCAAATTCTAGGAGAAAATAACAAAGCACTTATCAGCACATCCAGCCTGCTGGGAACAACTCCCAGCAGGCTTGTGTGCATATCCCTCCCAGTGCAACTATATAGCTTTATTCTGTGTTTATGCTGCTAATGCACGCTGAATGTCAAACGGAGACGACACACGGGAGTCCCCCCTTAATTCTGCAGTTTTGTTAGTTTACCAAAGAGCATAAGTCTGTAAGACTTTTTTTCCATAGTCTCCATTTTAGCAGCCACCTTTTAACACAACTCCTGAGCTGATCATAGCTTGAACTTCTGAATCGCTGCAGTATTGTTTGGGGTCATGAAAACACACTGTTGGTGTGTTCCTGGCGGGTCAGAAGGGGTCGTTAGGGGTTTACTAGCAGCTGAACAGATGGCTGGGTTCCTTTGACCGATATGCTGCCTCATTCATGTTCCCGCTCGTCCATTGTCGAACCCTCCGGATCCTTTTCTTGTGGTCAGAAGTGCACGCAAGACAAAGTGGGCGGGATTATTTTTAACAAGTTGTGGTAACAGCGTGACCTGAAGCTCATTTCCCTATTTAAAAAAAAACACATTCTGGCATCATGGCGGTGGTGGTGGTTTTTATTCTGTCACATTTATGAAATAGCTAACTAGCTAGCAATTCTACACTAGATGCTCTCTAAATAACTTTATTGGTGTAATGTTCGTTATTAGCAGCTATATCTGCAGGACTTTTTAAATTTTGCAGTTTGTTGTGTGTCGTGGCTTTATTGTTCACTGCACATTTTCATCTTTTTAAGCAATGTTGTGAAGTTATGGGGGAAAGGCATATTCACCAATCTGTTCAAAAGTGTCAAAGTGGAGAAAACCACGGCAGCAAGGACAAGTAAGTTCAGACAAGACGTGTAAATGACAAACAATTGAAAGAAAAAGTTTTCTAATTAACAATAAATTCTATTTCACTTATTTTAAATGCCCATTCTAAGCCTGTGACTGAGTTTGCAGATGACACTGGTGGACAGTTTTGAACAACAGAAAAGACAGATTCATCGCCTGCCTGCTGCTTTACAAATGAAAACTGTTCTTCATCTTTTGGAGACTGTTCATTATATTTACATGGCTTTAATTAAAAATTGTGGTAGCTTAAATTTATTTATAATCTTGTCTGATTGAGTCTGGTCTTACAGGTGGTCAGCTGATGGCTATTCAATTCATACGTTATTTTTAGAACATCATTTCCATTAAATTCAAATTCTGTTTTCAATTTCCTTTTGAGTCAGTCAGCGGACCCGCCTTGGTACTTTTGTATGCATGCATAAAAATTTGTTTATTATCATTAGAATTATTAAACATGAAAGTAAGAAGGCAACGAAACAGGGAATAGCTGAGTAAATGGGTAACGTAGCAACAGAGTTAGAACAAATTCACTAAGCTCGGTCAAACGATCGATTCTTGGTTAAACGCTAAAACCCAGAACTTGGGTCAAACCAACCAGGCACTTGTTCTGTCCCATAGTCACCCAACACTGGAGTGAAGGTTTGTTTGTTTTTTGTTTATAACCCAGCAGGTTTTTTAGTGTACTAAACGTCATTATTTACTTTTAACACTCGGTCGGCTTACCGTATCCTCCCAGATGTTGACCAAGCACTTATTCTGCATCTGCTGTGTTTCACCTATGTGGAGATGATCACGCCAACACTGGTCTATTCTTCTCTATTCTATTCATACGCTACTTAGAATTGCAACAGTAGAAGCAGGCAACAAGCCAGCTCTGGGTGTGACCTTTCCCCAACCTGCATTAATCCTCGGTGATATATATACGAAACCCCGTACAGAAAATTTAGACACGTGACTGAGTTTCTTTGCATTGAAATTAAGCCTAAATAAGATAAACACAGTCCTATAATAGTTCTAATGGGAACTTACAATGTGTATGCTGATTTCCAAATTGTGCAAAGACATCTCAAAGTACTTCATGAAGTATTGAACTTACATCTTTACACTATACATTAGTGAAAATCCTCAAGTCTTTGTTGTGTATTACATTGCTACAGTTGTCCTTCTCCATAAGTGTAAAGCAGTGGTACATCTGGACTTATATGCTGACACATTTCTCACAACTACATTTAAGAGAAGCCTCGTAAAATCACTATAAGAAGTCATGCCTGGACTGTTCCACGTATCTGGAGGTGAGACTTGTGCCTTACCTTTTCTTTGAGAGAGCTGTCAAACTGTCTTTTCCTCCAAATATTCCCATACTTGCATGATCCGAGCAGAGAAGTGACTCATGCTGCCTTCCTGTCAACACTGACTGAACCAGACCACTGAGCTGCAGCAGTCAAGCTGGACACCGAGCAACTACTGCTGTCCTGTGTGCACTTTCAGAATAAAGCATTGCAGTGCACTGACGTTTGAATTTGTTTTAATTAAAACAACGAAAGAAAGTCAAAGTGAACTTTTGGAACAGTTATACAGTTCTATTACTGGCCTGACCTAGTTATTTCCTCATTTTTGACATGATTTTTTATTTTTTTTGTAAAAGTTTTTCATGGTGTGCTGTTAAGAAATCCAGAAAAATGCGTCTCTGTTATGACATGCATGACTTACAACACACATAGGGGGCAGTTTATCACCATATTAGCACATCTAAGCTCCTTTTAGACATGCAAATGATCTGACTGGACAAGTTGGCTTTAGGTCTCGATAAGCACTCTGCTCACTTTTCCATAAAGGTTGGAATCGTACTTTGTCAGACCTTGTGCCAATTATTTATCTCTTTCATCATGGCACTAGTCTGAACTGCACAGAAAGGCACAAACAAGCTTCAGACTTCACATCACAGAGAATTAAATATGCAGTTTGTGCACCAAAATCATGAAACATTATTTTTGCTCTACAATTCCTTTTCTATTCCAAACTGTCCAAACAAATAAAAAAAATTACCAAAGTTGAGTTTGTTGCTTCCAGCTGTTTGTAGGAGTCTTTCCTCTGTGTTTATTAAACAAGTGCAGCATCAGACAGCAGAAGGATCGAACCCCAAATGAAGAGTTGGCCGTATTTGCGCACAAGGAACATCAGCAGTGACTTATTAATTTACTTAATCATAAATTATCCCAGACATGAAGACTGGATCAATCAGGATCTGATAATAAATGAGTCACAAACAGCTGCAGTTTAATTATTGGTTACACAGCAACTATCTTCAGGTTAAGTCCTGAGCTTCATCACAGTAGTAGTTTAGCGTTATCATCACACGTAGACATACTGTTCAAGGAAATCATCAATAAACTGGACAGTGTGATGAGCTGCTATTAGTTTAGATTTGGCCTTTTGTTATTTGTGTGATATTATGGATTACATATCACTGAATGTGTAATCTCATGTGAGTGACAAACATGTCTGAATGAAGCTGTGAGAGACATTAAAAGGGATCCCTCTGAGTGCCATCACTTTAACAGACTGACGAAGCAGGAATGTTACAAATCCCACGTCTGAAAAGGGCTTTGGTAAGCTGCCAATACCATCGTCAATATGGTCACTGGAGAGAGGACGCTGAGTGATTTACATTGTTGTCTGCAGCAGAAACCTATGAAGAAAAACAGTGCCATCTGGTGCTTATAGTTAGATCAACATCCAGCGATGCCTGAGCCCAAACCATCTGAGCTGTACGCCTGAATGAGCTGTGTCTTAATGCAGCTTTACTGTATGTGCTGTTGGTTTAATGGCACCTGGATCAATGAGAGCAACAACAATGTAAAATCTGCTGGACTCGATTTATATCTACAGCATTGTAAAAAAACATGTTGCTTACAAGTGCTAGACTTTGTGATGTCTGGGCGACCAGACCAGAAGGCTGACACCAGAAACAGGAATTATTTCTTCAGTGGAAAGTGGTTTTAATTAAACCTGTACACATCATGGATTGTCCAAAATGACAACAACTCTGCTTCTGGAAGTTGCAGCTGAATGTTCTGAATGTCAGTTTTTTAATATTGTACCATGAATTAAATTCCATTCACCTTCACTGCGTTAGTGTAGTTGTAGTCTGAAATTTAAAATCTATCCAAAAAGCCAGACTCTGCTTGGAGGACGTTAGGGCATTCTTATTTATTTTTATTTTATTTCTTTTCTTTCTGTACCTTTTGGTAATCTGAGTGACACCACACATTAAACAAATCCCAACAAAAAGTTGAGTGAATCCGTGCAGCAGCTCAGCTATTTGCTGTGTCGCTAACGTTCAGGTTAATAAGGCCACATGTGATTACAATGAAATGTCAGAATACAGAAGCTGCGCCACATGCGTGCACTCAGCAGCTCTGTTAAGTGTGGCGACCGTATGGATTCTGCTGCTGTTTAACAGAGTGAAAGATGAGAAGGCAGCATTCTATATTTTGTTCAGTGTGTTGAAAGTGAATGTCAGGAGTTGTATACAAGTTGGCGATGCTGGGGTTCTGAAGGAGTTTTGTTTATGTTATTGTCTGCCAAAAACGGATTATTACTTATATGTTTTGATCCACTTTTGTGCTGGTTAGACAGTCACACCATGCAGATACACTTAATTTCATAACCATGCATAGGTATGTTTCTGTGGACATATCTCAATTTATAGTGTAATCAGGCATGACATTTATAATTATCGGCAAAACTATTGTATGTTGTTTATATTTGAAGACTAGACTGTGCTTAACATGATTTATGGATGGGTTTTATGCATCAAACAAAATAAATTATCTCTTTTACAATTACCATATTGGCTTGGCGGTACAAGGCTGCCAGGACCTTGAACGCATCAGCGTGTTTACCGGCCTCCCGTTGGTCCGTCGTGCTCCAACTCTGGGCCAATCACAGCGCAGAGGGGGGAGTCGCACGCGCCCCACCTTGTTTCGGTCACGTGACGCGAGCTTACGAAGATGGTGGAAGTTTCTTCTTCCTTGAAGTGAAACCCGGACTGAAACCCAAACATCCTGCGGAGCGAGGGGCCGGAAGGACGCCGCAGCGCCACTGCCTCGGTTCTACAGCTTCTCCTCGGATCCGGGTAAGTGACAGAGGGGGCACGCTGGTAGATTTCCCGTCGGTGGGGTTTGTTTTTTTCGTAGCCGTTGGACTTTTGGATTCCCAGCCAGCCATGATGATGACACCAGCTAGCAGGCTAGCCGTTAGCCGGGGCTGGGACGGCAGCGGGCTGTCAGACCTGGTGGCTCAGCTGACATTCAACACGTACTCAGCAACTCCGGCGTCCACACCGCGACTGCAAATATAGCTACACAGTGTTTGGGGTGTTTGTTGGCTCAGCGGGACATACTGTTCCTGGCAGCGCGGCTAACTGAGTTAGCGTTAGCTCCTTAACCATTCCCAGTTAGATTAAATTATGTAATCTTATCAGCGTTTGTTAGCTTAGCATGCAAATAGAGAGGAGCATAGAGGGAGAATGCGTCGTTTGTCCTTAACTGTGTGTAATTGTGTGCAGAGAGAAGTGAATCTATTTTATATCTCACAGGACAATATAAGTTTAGAGACTTTAAGAATGGAGCCACTCCTCAATACGACATATTCAATACAACAACCAGCTAAACAGGAATAACTAAGATGTATATTAAAAATCAAGCTAGGGATTGTTCATGTCAGTAAAGTGGTTGAAATAAATTTTGAGCGTTTTTTTTTTTTTTTTACTTTAATGATTGAATATCTGGCAACCTGACAGCACCTGTCAAACGTCATTATTGAGATAATGGCTCATGTTTCCTGCTCTCCAGTGTCCTCTACCAGCAGCTGCTCCCACTGCATACTTGTGTCTGCTTCGATAACTGCAAGCAGAGCTGCAACCATTAATCATCAGTCGTTAACAATTTTGAAAATGGATGAGGTTGAGTACGTTTTTAAGGGGAAAAGAGCCAAAATTCACAGATTTCAACTTGTTAATTGAGAATATTTTCAAGTTTCGTTCCTCCTCAAGAACAGTAAATGAAAATCTTAGGGTTGTGGACAAAAAGACGCCATCTCGGCCTTTGTGAAACACTAATTGACGTGTTTCACTATTTCTCTGACATCTCATGAACCCAGCAACTAATCAGTTAGTGGAGAAACAATCAACTGTGAAAGTAATCCTTATTGGAAGTTATGAAAAAACAGGAAGTTGACATTTTGCAGTCATGAGAAAATAAGCAAAGTTAGTTGTGTTAGTGTCCGTCGAGAGTAACGGTGGCAGGTGAGGGCACCACTTATTCACTGTTCAGTCGTCAGGTGACAGAACTGCTGCTGTTTTCTTAGGTGACTCTTCTGTTGTGTTAAGTTTTTGTCACTGTAGACATTGCATTTTCAGTAATTCATCAAGGATTACCTGAAGTAGTGCGGCACCCACAAACAGCATGTGTACATTTGCCGTTGATTATGCTGCCAAGCAACAGGCCCTGAACCCACAGACAGACGTAGACTTTCTTTATTGTCATTGCACACAAACACAGTCGTGAATCTAGACAACGACCAGGCTGAGGATCCCAAAAAGACCCCCCACCCCCCCCAAAAAACCCAATCCCTCACTCATTTAATCAGCTTCAAACTCAGCATTGCATTTGCATCTCCAGCAGCACCCCCACCAATTTTAAAGTGGATAACACAAACGGTTGTCGAGATATGTGAAATGCACACGCACATCCAGAGATTCATGGAATTCTTTGATGGTTTTATGTTTATGACTAAATTAACTCTCACTGAGCAGGTTCTTCAGTGTGGTTTCCTTGAAGAATAAAATAGAACGAGCGAACCTGTTTGTCCCTCTATATTGTTATGTACTATGTTGGTCATCAGATAGGTATGTGTTGGTGATATGCATGGTGTAAACAATGTGTGTCTGAGTAACAACGCCGAGGTAGTAGTAGTCTCGATAACTACAAATTGAGTGTAGTTAAACCATTTTGAGATCTTTTGCGGTCTCAAAGTGGGCTGTTCATCCGTCTATCAGAACTCTGTAGCAATAGGAGATGGAGCAATCTGAGCTCAAAGTCAACTTAGAAATGCCCAGATGAAATTTGCCGGCCTGTCTGTGATGTTATTTAGCTGGTTTTAAAAACTCTAATCCAAGGCAGGTCATTGTCAAGTTTAATATTCAGCAAATGCTCCCTCTACAAAACACAGTCGGCCTGCCGCCCGGCTGCTAAGTCAGCAGTTGCAATGAATTATTGACCAAGACCAAAGCAGTAGCCACAGTGAAAGTTTACCCAGGAGCTGCTCACTTTTTCCTTCTCTGCCATGTGCATACTGGAAGAGATAGACTGAGGAACATACATTATTCAGTGACGCATTGAGGTTACGAACCAGATTCAAGAAGTGATCATAGGATCTGATTCCGGTGCCAGTCTTGCATGTTCCCTTTCACTTTACCTGGCACAGTTGTAAGTGGTGAGTTTATATGTGTCGGCACACTTTAGAGCAAGCAATATGTAGGTGGTGCTCACTTTTTTCTTTTCTTTTTTTTTAAACAGAACAATATCCCTAAAATGTATTCATGCAGTTTTCAGTGTTTCTTTGAATGAGACTTGGATCACAGCTACTGTGGAAGAGATTAGTTCAAAAATGAAAACTGAAAGCATAAACATCATGTGTTTGTGTCAGAACTATAGGGCTTTATTTTCTACAGCTGCCAGTACAATAATGTTTCCTAAAGACATTGTCGCTGTCACAGAAATCACAATCGCACAATCTTAAACCCACATCTAACACTCAACCTCAAACATATCCGGCACAACTATTCTCCACAGTCGTACTTCAGAGTACTGAAGACTTAGAGCAAGGTCTTATTTTTAATGTGCAAAACATACAGTATATAAAATATGCAGTGCAAAAAAAGAAATCTATAGTGTAGAAGTACAGTGTGCAAAATTATAAAAGGACAGTCTAACACAGAAAAGATAGAAGTTCTTCATCATTTTTGTCCCTCAGTGTTGATCTGTGAAGGTAGATCAGCCGTGTCAGTTGTCACTGTTTACCAAGTGTTTGGTTAGCAGCTAATTTATGGTCCTTTTTGTAGGGAGGTTGCAGAAAGGCAGCTGAAGAAAGGTAGTTAATCACGAAGACAAGTAGAGCCACAGTTGATGAATTGTTTTACCAACACAGAAAGCACGTATACCTACATAATAACGGATGGATGTGTGGAAATCCAGGTCTAGGTGCAACCTTAATGCATTCAGTTGTGTTTCGTGGCTCTTTGCAGGTATTCGGCTCTCGGCTTAGGAACGTTATTTAGAAGTCAATGTGAAATTCAAGACACTAGACACAAGGAGCATTTCACAACTGCAGACGTGGCCTTTTTCTCTTTAATGTGCCCTTATTGTTACCTATCATGATGGCGCAACTTCTGACAAATAACTCTCACAAAATACCGCTTTTGTTTGACTTGATGCACCTTATATATGTTTTGAGTTGACAGTCAATCTCGTCTCTGTTGCCATGTTGAATGCACGTGTTTAAAGGTGATGTTACTGTTCAGTGTTAGGGATAATGTTCCAGGAAGGAGATGTAATTTCTATATGTAGACTCTGACGATTAAATGTGATACTCTGGATGAATTCCATTATTATGGCTGATGCTTTTGTCCAAAGGGATTTACAGGAAGAACATATAACCTCCAAAGGAAACGTATTTCCGTGGCTTTACTCACTGTAGCGGAGGACTACGTGTTGTATTATTAAGGCTCGGTGTGCTGACTTTGACCTTGTTGAAACTGGAGTTTTAACTGCATTTCTTGTTTTTCAGTTGCAGTTGGATTACAATTGTGTTTCAGAGCAATTGGAGATGTATTGATTTTTTATACCTTCTGAAAGCTTGTCAGAGGGCCTTGCTGTGCGGGCAATATCGTGCTTCTGAGTGTTACACCATATTTGATTCAGTTTAAATCATATATCATCTCATGGCGCTTTGCATAGCAAGGTAAGACCGTAGAGTATCATAGAGAGAAACCCAGCAATTCCCCTGTAACTCTATTATCTAATGGAAAACCAATGGTTATTGACACCTGCATGCGCTTAAAGCAATGATTTTCTTTGCCTGTTTACTGTAAGCAGTAGCGAGCTTTGAGATGAAACATATAGTTATTTACATAGGGGGATACTATATATATATATATATTTTTAATAGTTGGATGTGGTTTTTTTGCAAGTGTGACAGATAGTGGTCTAAATATACTTCATCGAAATGATCTCATCTGTATGCTGCACATTTGCAGCAGTGGGAAACCGATCCGTCATCAACCTAATGATGTGTCGTCTGTGCTGCAGGCTTTCATCCCAGCCCTATGTCATGGCCAGTGGAGTCACCAAGTCGGGCACTTCGAATGGTTACCCTATGAAAGCACAGCTGCAAATCATTGGTGAGTCTTCGCCCTTTATCCGAGTGGACAGATGTTAAAGAACAAAAAACATCAGGTTGACCTCTTTTACTTTTTGCTTTGTCACTTAAGGGAAAGAACAGGTGTGAATAATAAAGTGAAACATGCTTCATTTTCAGGCTAATTGCTGTTGGTAACATCTGTGCTTTTTCTGCTGTAATACGCTAAAGTGTCTGCTGTGAAAAAAAACTTCAACCACATTTCTGCGTCTTTTTAATCATGTCTTGATCTCACACACACAGACAGATATTTCTACTAGAATCGTCAGCATTTGATGACGTTGCTCAACAACAGGGGAGACTTAGGCTTCGTCCACGGGCTCCGAAAATGGCCACCACTTATCTAAACGTATTTAAAGTTGACAGTGCACTTCCTCAGGTCCCCAGTGATACACCTGCCAAATTTGAAGCAGGTCGAATGAATGAATGGTTGTTGAAAAGTGACAGACACATTGACAGACAAAGATTCCTTAATCTATTAATGTAATGAGGGAAGCTTACGGTGGATATTAGAATGAAAATGTCCTGCATTGTTAGCAAAGTACGTTTTAAAAGCCCCATTTTTTACTGCCATTATGTTCTTTTATTTACTTGTGTTTGCTGCATCTGACTCTGCGTCATACGGTCTCTTCTTCCTTTTCAGTGCTATCGGCAAAACTGAAGGAAAACAAGAAAAACTGGTTCGGTCCCAGTCCCTATGTGGAAGTGACAGTCGACGGCCAGTCCAAGAAAACAGAAAAATGCAACAACACGCACAGCCCCAAATGGAAGCAGCCGCTCACTGTGTGAGTCAAAGTCACGCCACGACAGCTAGACGCATATGATACTGGATCGTAGTTGTGACATTCAGAACGTAACTGTTGCTGCTCTCACTCATAGAAGAGATTTTACTCACAGCAAGTGTAGAATATTACCAGTATTTAAATTGCTAAGATTTGGATTTGTGAGTGAAATCTTACACTTGAATATCCCAGAAAACACCTTGTGGTCAATTTGTTCACCTTCGCCTACTTATTACTCATCCTAATGCGTTAAATGTCACCAGTGTGGTGTTTTAGGGAACTCAAAACTGCTCTGTTATTTACAAGAGCTCTCACAATTGCTATTTACAAGGATGACTCCAGCACAAATTTTTACGAGTGTGCACATTTGAATGAAGGTTTTACGTCTAGGAATATAACTAAAATGTGTATCACTTGTTAAATAAAGAGGCGTCTAAAACGACCTACTGCTATTGAGGAAGTGTAAGAAACATTTGGAAGGTTGTTGTTTAATGTGAGCTTTAAGCTGCTTGTTGAGAGTACTGTCGTATTTCACATTCATACCGTATAAGGAAAGCATGCCAAAGCCCACAGCACATAGTGATCAGTGGCTGTGCTGCACTCCATTGTTCACTCATTTGGTGGTTGTATTCCCCTGAGTTCGAACAAAGTAATTATTAAAAACAGTGTCGTAATTTGGGTTTTGGCTTTGAGGAAGAAGCGTATCATGAAAAATTACTGCTGACTGCACTATTTGGCGTTGCACATCATAATTTCCCCTGAAAACTGTCCAGACCTTGAACAAGTTTCTCGTAAAGGAAAACAGAACGAGACTTCCTTTAAAAAATGGTGTTACATTGTGCTGGTGTGATATCGGATCTGTCTGAATGAGTCTTGGATTTCCTCTCATGAGTGCAGGATAACAGCATGTGAGCAGTGTAAAGAAAATATAAAAAACAGATGAGAGTGTGTTTAGAATAGACTTCTGCTTCCAGATAGAATCTCAAACAGCAGTGAGAGATTGTGTTCGGTACATTTACAGGAATCTTGTTTCCAAACATACTCTGTACATTCCGAGTTCCATTTAACGTCTCGCTGTCCAACATTCACACATCTGATGTTCTCTTAATTTTAGCCTGTCCAGGATTGCCTGCTGTGCACAGTGACCTTCTTAATATAGAGTTCTCCGACGGTTTCCTTCAGACCCCACGGGGGCAGGGTTGTTATATAACAAGTGTTTACTATGGGATGTAACCCGACCAGAGGCCGAGTATCCACGGTTTCTTTTCCTGGGGGCACTGATGGTGCTAGCTAAACAACTGTCATAGTGATGGTTATAGACACTCACTGTCCCTGAATAGCTTCTGAACTTTATTGTCTGTGGTTTGCTTTCAACACAAAGACTTGGTGCTCACACAAGCACAGTTGCTTTCACTTTTTTTTTGCCAGCTAAATGGCACACAATCAGTTGTAATGTTGGGAATTATCAGCAATACATGATTGTGGTTTTTACCGTGTAATTACTCATTCTTGTTGCCTTTATTCAATGTGCATGTAAAGCTGGAGGTTAGCAGTGAGCTCCATGAAAGAAATTCAAAGAAAAGGTGATAAAATGACAAAGAAGAAGTTGTTCTCACTCAAAAGTTGCTGACTTTCAAAGCTGATCGGTAAATCATTGGTGAAGTCTCGACAGCGGTGGATCTGGTATCAGATCCTCGACGGACAAAAGCAAGAACCTTTTTTTTTTTTTTCCATCTAAAGTCCAAATGCGCCACAGGTTTTCAGCTGAACTGTCTGTTTTTACCAGGATCGTGACTCCATTCAGCAAACTGGTGTTTCGTGTGTGGAGCCACCAGACGCTGAAGTCCGACGTGCTGCTCGGCATGGCCACGCTGGACGTCAGCGACACGCTCAAGTCCAACGACATGAAAAGTGAGTGTGTGAGACGCACACAACTCTCTGACATATTTCCTTCATTAAACTGGTCCCTGATGTCCTAGATGGCACCAAACTTTATTAGAAATATATGGTGACCAGCAGTGTGGGCAAAAGATATATTTCTCCTGCCCAAAAATATATATACTTCGTGAGTAAAATCCTTTTGGTAAAATCCAGCTGCAGCTTCAGATCACATCATGACTGTGCTTAACAGACTGGAACTCATGTCCCCTGACTCTCCAAAGTTCGTCCTTGGTGATTTTATGAATCTGTTTGTTCATTTTGTCTTTTATTTTCTATTGTGTTTATTTTTTTGATGTCTGCACATTAAATACTCAGTGAGCTTTTGAATTACCCCCAGGAGATAAATAAAGTTATTTGAATTGAATTGGTTGAGATAAAGGCTGCAAGGTGGCTCGTGGTTCATTGCCTTGCGGTTTGCGTCGCGGTGAGGACACCCGAGATCTTTCTGTGTGGAGTCAGTTATGTTACGTCTTCATCTAAGCCAGAAACTGTAAAAAACAGAGAAAATTGTTGGAAGGAGCAAAAAGTACATTAGTATGGAAAGCAATTCATAATGTAAGCAGTAAAATATCTGAGATTATAACTTGGCCCACAAACTGCTTGAGGCTCAGAGGGTTAATCTCAGATGCCTCCAAAGCCATGGTGGTGTGTCAGATTGTAAAATCGTCATCATAAAATGGTGTCTATCAGTAGGTAGATCAGTGCCATGTAAGACTGAATCCAAACATTTGGCTGTATGATATGATCTTTATTGTAATGGAGTAGGATTTTATTTAGTTTTAATGACATCTTGGATCCTACATGTTTCGGTTTATGAACTAGTGTGGGGGTTTATTTCCCTGTTGATTAGAGTTTCTGAGGGTGGACCTTTTGTCTGCTCGTCTTTCATTTGTTTCAGACTGCTGTTGTAGCTGCCAAGAACTTTAAACCACATCTCTTCCTGCCCACGACAGGTTTTGGCAAAGACTTATCTGTTGGCACGCAACAAAATGATCTTAGTTCCGCTGTGTGAGGTTGTCAGGATGTCTATAAAGAATCAAGCAAACCTAAAATGTGCTTCAAAGCACAGATGTGGCTATCAAAGTTTTCCTCCGAAAATAATAAAATCAGCTGGGGGCTCCACTTAGCATTTCCAACACGGCTGCTGTTTTTTTTGTCACCCCCTGGCTGATTTTTGGGCTGTTTAACTTTGGTTTGTTTGTCATAAAGACACCATTCAGGCCCCTGCCTGGTCAGTTTTTATGTGTGGACCTTGTCCAGTTGGAGAACCCTGTGTACAGATCACATGTCAGAGCAGGAAAATACACACTGATCCCAGTGACTGTTCAATTCAGATTACTGGTGTTTTGTAATTATTACAAATGAGCCCTTGATTTTTTTGTCTCGCAAGAACAATATTCAGGCTGATCAGGATCACTGGAGTTATCTGTGTTGTCTTCTCATTTATTTTGATAAACTGTCTTAATTTAAAGTAATTGCTTTTTACGCCAAGTAAAAGACTGTAGGCATTATTGTGCAGTTGTGCTGTTTTGTGTTATCCCCAAGTTTCTAGCATGTGATGTTTTTTAGGCAACTGGTGGCAAAAGCTGCAATGCCACTGAATGTTGGGGGTTAAACTTTGATAGCATTTGATGCACGCATAATCTCATTGATTGACCGAATGAGTAGTGGGAAATGCACTTCGAATGCTTTTGTCTTCCTCTGACCATAGTGTGTTGCTTCATTGTAGTCTCTGAGGTGGTGCAGACCTTACAGCTGTGTGCAGACAGAGACCAGTCAGACGTGGTGGGAGATCTGTCCGTCTGCCTGGACGGCATGACCGTCGACCCCGAGATGTTTGCCATGGCCGAGGCCGACCATCACAGTGAGTCACAGCGCCACCAGTGTTCAGTCAGCATGCTGTCCGTGTGAACTCTGTTTTGTATTTTAAGTGTATTTGTTATCTAACTTGTAAAATGTAGTTCTTTCCAAATGACTTTTAGCTCTGTTTGAATCATGTCCATAAACAGGCAAACCATTTTTATTCATGTCAGCTTTTTTTTTTTGTAAGTTTGAAAAGCTGTGTTACTGTCTGACTCATTAATGTTTTGTGCTTTTCCTCGAGGTACGTCAAACGGGGAGTCACAGCCTAATGGGGATCAGCCCATCAGGTACAGTTCTAGTTCCCTTCTTCAGTCTCATTCCACTAGTGTCACATTTTTACTTTTGCCCGGCTTGTTTATGGAGATCTGTCCTCCTTCCTCACAGGCACAGTCGAGACAGCTCTCCGGCTGTGGACAGCGTAGAGCACCGGTCGTCTCCCAGCGGGCGCAGGGCAGCGAACAGCACCGGGTCTCCTTCGGTGTCATCAGGGGGGCTGAGGCCTCTCCGACCACCCAGGCCCTCCAGACCTCCACCTCCAACCCCCCGCAGACCCACCTCTTCACCAGGTCAGATATTTACCGAAGGACGTCTGATCTGATTTGCTGTAAACACTTTTAAACCAAAACAAAAGAGGGAAACAAAGATCAGATGCACTTCTTCCTGTGTATTTGTGTACAATCATATCAATGCCAAACATTTACCCTGAGGGTAAATTGGGGGTTGGGCCCAAAACTCGGCACACTCTGAAAGACACTATTAGTACAACCGGTTTACTGGCTATAATCACACAAGACAACACTGAGGAATGCACAAATAATGAGACTGATGAGAAAAATTCAGCGCTAGCCTGCCTAAACAAAATAAGTCGTTGTTCTTTTTATGTGTGTTCCTCACATTTTCTCAAATCTGTAATTGCAGCTGTCCTGGTCCGAGGCTCTTCGATAAGCTCTGTCATGTCTGAATCTTTCCTCAGCGTCTTCCAGCAACGGCTCTGCTCCAGCAGACAGCAGTGACGGTCAGTCAGGCGCCGACACACCGGTGCGAACGGCGGCTTCAGGATCTGCGTCGGCCCCAGAATCAAGTCCGTCAGCGGGTTCAGACAGAAGCTCCACGTTGGCCGCTGGCTGTGGAGCTGCAGCGACCAGACAGCCGACCAGCAGCGCCACGCCTGCCGTCGCTCCCAGAGTCCCCGCAGTCACAACCGGACCTCTGCCCCCTGGGTGAGATCTCATTTTGTAATCGTTGCAGAGGAGCTGAGGGAGGTTTTCGTTGAAGAATCATCCAAACAAGTGCAAGTTTATTTTCATGAAGGTGAAACGGTGGCAAGTATTGTCTGACCTCTCCGTACCATGCTGAGCGATAACAGTGCTGCAGTGCCCACGCCAAACAGCTGATTATAGGTCTTGTTGCAGAATAAGAAGCAGGGAGAGAGTGTTTGAAAAAAAAAAAAGAAAGAAACTGATTAATTATTCAGAGGGGGATTCGAGTATTAAAAAGAAATTGAGCAGCCATAATTTACCCCCAAAAATACAGCAGTGAGGCTACATTTATTGGGCTTCATTCCTGTTCTGAAAATGTGCAAATTAAAAGCAGAGGGATGTAGGAAGACAATAGAAATCAGTGCACAGGCATAAGTGATAAATGCGAGGGTCAGGAAATGTTTTGACACTTGACATACTTCTTGTTTTTCTGTTTCTGAACTGTGATTACATGTTTGTCACTTGGCGACCATGCTCCATGATCATTACTGTCTTTTTGTTCTGGTCTTTTTTTTTCTTGGTTTCATTCAGGCTGTAATTCCCTAAATATCGCTTTTGAGCTGTTTTATTGTCAGCACTGTGACAACGCTGACCTTCGCTAGCAATTTTTGCTGCTATTGTAGCCGGATGACTCACGTTGTAATAGCTGTTATAAATCTGCACAAGGACCCAAATGGCTCCACGTGCACCATTACCTAATGTCCTCCACTTTATTGTTGTCGTTTTATCTAGATGGGAGCAGAGGGTGGATCAGAACGGCAGGGTGTATTTCGTCGATCATGTCGAAAAGAGAACAACGTGGGAGCGCCCAGAACCACTGCCCCCCGGGTAAAAAAAAATCTTTTCCTGTAAAATAGTAGATACTGGTTCAGCTTCTGTTTTGGCATCATGATGTATTGCTGTTCCTTTTTCAACAACTTGGATGTTTTGTCACACAATTCACTTAATTGGCAAAGCGTGTTCTGCACGTGATCATTATCAGAACAAACTGATCAAACCATTGGAGAAAGATAGCATTGCATTTAAGTGGTAACTGTTTAAACACTCAAGAAGTTGGCTTCATTCCATCAAGTCCTGCACCTCTATGGAAGCTGCACTCAACATGCCATAAATTATGTTTTTAAAAAGCTACAATAAAAATTAATTTTCTTAGATTTTTTTTTTTTTTGTATTAAAAAGAAAACAAATAAACTTGAATTAGCAGGTCCAACATTATTGGTGCCGATAGGTGTTACTAACATTAGGAAAAAAATTGTCACTCTACATGCCATAGATATTTTACTACTCACATTTGTGTGTTCTTTGTAAACATGGTCAACTCAGTCAAGTTCAGCCTATTTTTTTTTTTTGGACACACATTGTTGGTTGAGTCACAACAGAATTTTTTAGGTTTGTACAGAATCTGGCTAATTCAAACATTTATTTTAGGCATATAAAAATATTTTAATGTGATATCATGATTTGATGAATCATCCTGACTGAACTGCGCTCCACAGATGAGTAGTTCAAGGACTGTCAGAAAGTTGAAAAGTTGACTATTGTTTCTGTTCTTCCATCTTCTGCCTCTCATAAATGGTGTACTTTGGGCTGGTTTTGGGGTTTCAGATGTTAATTGGTGTAAATAGTGCATAACTCTGAGATGCTTTAGTTGTTAGCCAGTCCAGAAGGAGTCACTCGTATTCTTTGTCTCATCGTCTTCAGCTGGGAACGCCGTGTTGACCAGATGGGACGGGTCTACTTCGTGGATCACATCACGCGGACCACCACATGGCAGCGTCCGACCATGGAGACGGTGCGTAACTATGAGCAGTGGCAGCACCAGCGCAGCCAGCTGCAGGGCGCCATGCAGCAGTTCAACCAGAGGTTCATATTCGGGGTGAGATTTTCTTTTTTTTTTTAATCATCTGACGTCATGTGGTGATCTCATCTTTGCTGACACGTTTCTATATCTGCGTTCTATAATCCAGCTACTGGTGCTCAGATCAAGTGCATGGCTTAAATTAGAAATGCAGTTTGTAAAAAATGTTTATTTCTAAGAAGTGGCTGCTAATGACAAACGTGTTGAGCCGCTTTAAAGGTCCCCTACAGTGAAAATCCATTGTTGTCGTGTTGTCATAAACTTACATACCATTCCTCAAGTCCCCCGCAGCTAGATAGTTTCTAAGAATTTGACTCAGGTGCTGCATCACACCTAACTAACCAACAGTCGTCTGGCTTAAACTTTGCGTAACTCTGCCCCCTCCCTTCCCGCTGCTTCCCGGTAAACCGTTCAGAATGAGCAGCTGTCTCTCAGTTCATCAGGTTTATTTACTTTCTAGAGCTGCTTCTGCTAACTCTAAAGTGTTCTAGCCACAGGCAAAGCACTCCAAATGTTCTGCTGACGGCGAGAGCAAACACAAGCATCTGAGGAACTAAAGGCCCAGTGGATTAATTTTGTTTATGATGGTAATGTCATGCAAACAATTGGAAAATCCTCAGTGTTAGCATATTGCATGACTAATTCAGCTAATGCTACCATTAGCTTTAATGGTATTGCTGTAACGCTGCAAATGTGGGACTAATAAAGGGTTATCTTATCTTATCCTATGCCCACAGGTCGGAGCTCTGTGATGTGTGTACTGCTTACCCTCTGATTTTATAACTTCAGCGTTGTCTGACAAACTCACCGTACACATAAGAGTCGTTCCAGGTCAAGTCAGCCCGATCTCAGAATCACATCTTTAAATTTTTAACATGTTTTCAATGGATATGAAGACATTCCCTTAAGAAAATTTTAAGAAATAAAAAACGATCCTTCCTGACAAAAAATACTGCTAAAATATCCCAAAAGGGGGATTTTCCAGCTCCAAAGCAAATTTCAGGAAGACCTGTGGCAGTCAATCTAAGATGCAGCACCAAATAACATTTTAATATGACAAAACTAAGTTGTTTCTACCCACAACTAAAATTTGGTTGGAATTGAGTGAATATTAGTGGAGAGATTTTTCATTTTGATGATAAATTATAGATTTTTTTTATTTTAATTTCTGTTAAGAAAAAACAAAAACTGCATAAGCTATTGACATGAACACAAGGTTTCTGGGATATTCAGTAAAAAAAAAAAAAAATTTTAATCAGTTATTGGTGAGGCTTTAAAAGAATCACTGATGTTATAAAAATTAACACAGAGGGCTTTTTTTTTTTTTTTTTTTTTTAACTCATAACTCAAAAAGTATGTTAAGTAGATTTGTAGGATTTTGCAAGATTCCGTAGTTTGGGTAGAAGATTTGCGTTATTTATTTCAAGAAAATCCACGACCTCAACTTGGAGGCCCTCGCTGAGTTGGCATGAAATGACCCATAAGGCAAAAACAACGACTGTGCTGCAAATCCAGAGAGAAAGTTAGAAGTAGTAGAAAGGTCCTGGTCTCTCGGTGTCAGCAGCTGTGTAATCTGCTGTTTTGTGTCACGCCGTCAATCGCAAACGCAGAAAGCAGCAGCTCATTGGTTTTCAGAACAAACCATCTTTGAGGCATTTTAAGCTGTAGGGACATGTGAGACAAGGAAGTATCGGGCCTTTACAATCTAACTTATTCTTCCTGCCCTCATATCCAGTTCACCTGTTATACCTCGTGCATTTACAAATGCAGCTAACGTCGCTGTTCTTCAGGTGCTTTTTGATTCCTATTAATTCTGTTTTTCTCCTGTGTAGCTACAAGACCAGGTCTCCGTCACTCAGAACAAGGAGTTTGATCCTCTCGGACCTCTGCCACATGGATGGGGTGAGATCATCAGAGCATTTCGGTTTAAATACACACGTAAACCAAAATGTTTGTTAGTTTTCAACAATGATTTCAGACACATGCAGAAATTCAAAGTTGCAGCTGAAATCTCTTCAGATTCGGGAGCCCTTGTGGTCTGGAGTTTTTTCCTTTGCACCAGAAAAATGTCACAGAATTTCTTCCTTTAGTTCTGCAGATTTAGTCTATTTGATTGTTTTCCTGTCAGACCTATTGGCTGTTTTTTACGATGCCGTATAAAATGCTTCATCCTATCTGTATCATGTTAAACACACAGTCTTTATGGGTTTTAACTTTGATGGTGGCAGGTAAATGTATGTAGAATTTGAAGTTTCTGTGAAATAAGAGGTGGTGGTGGAAATTATAGACTTTCTACAAACTAGAAGTCTTTTCAAATCATATGCAGATTATTAGTAATCAAAGAGATGATGCACAATTTGCAATAAGAAGAAAACCGTGGTGTAAAAATTGACAATAACATAAACTCCAATATAAAACTTTGTCGTAATGCCTCAGTTTACTTATGTTCACGCTGCAGAAATCATTTTTAAAAAATGCTGGATCTGATTAGTCTATTCCTAATCCTTGACAAGTAGCCGCCCTAAACTGAAGTGAAGCACTGGACTGGTAACCTGATAATTGACTGATTGTTATGATGTCTTTTCAGAGAAAAGAACGGACAGCAATGGCAGAGTTTACTTTGTGCATCATCCAACACGGTCAACGCAGTGGGAGGACCCACGAACACAAGGGTTAGTCTGTGTGTGTGATGGTGTATTTCCCTGCAGGCATTATCAGATGAACATGTGTACACAGTTGAAACCAGAAGTTTACATACACTGTATAAAAAGACATAAAACCAGTTAGGATAAGCAAATAGAAATAATTTTGGTAATCCTAACTGACCTAAAACAGGAAGGGTTTAGTCACATTTAATGTCAAATAGTGAAAAAATAAATAAGTTATGTCTTTTTATACAGTGTGTGTAAACTTCTTTCAGCTGTACATCATGAACTTATTTTCCTGTATTGTTTTTTGCACTTCTCCTAAAGCCGCCCGTCACCAAACGTTTGGTCTCATTTTTCAGGTTGTTGAATGAGAAGCCGCTCCCAGAAGGCTGGGAGATGAGGTTCACCGTTGATGGCATTCCTTACTTTGTCGACCACAACAGGAGAACCACCACCTACATCGACCCTCGCACTGGAAAATCCTCACTGTACGTCTTCCATCATGTCGTTGTCTTTAAATCTTCAGCCTTCTAGGACTCTCGTAAGACACAAGCAAGCTTGCTAACTAAAGACGATGCTCAACAACTGATGAGGAAGCAGTGTGTTACCACGTCTTTGCATTAATTGGAGCTAATGCAAAGCCTGCTGTCAGTGGTTATATCGGATATTTACAGACCAATGTGGCACAATCTTGCCCTCCCAGCAACTAGACCATTGTGCAGCACAGAATAACCTTGTTGTCATTTTGCTATCGAGGGGAAAATCGCTTTGACTTTTTTGTATTTTTTATTTTTTTTTAAACCAGTCATATTGAATGGAGCTAAACCAAGGATGTAGCAACGATGCCCCCTCAAAATAGTGGGGAGGGAATTGTTTTTGGTCAAACATATACATGCAGGGAGGCAAAAACTGTCATTAAATGACTAATTTACTGAAAAAACCATCAGGACTGCCTCACTGGACCAGCCAAATAGTTCCCAAACCTTTATTGTGGGTAGGCTGTCGTTTCCTGTAGCGAAGACAATTTTGTTAATACGTAGACAGCAGAAGGGGAGGAGTGACATACGCAGCCTACATCTAGTGAGTCCGATTATCCAAAAACAGGTGCTCCACTGACAGGCAACCTAATGTCAGGCTGAACGGCACAAAAACAAAAAAAAGAACCACTGCTCATCCGCTTTAAACTCGTCGAGTATGAAACGGTTGTCAGGATATGTGAAGACTAGATACACACCTATGCAGACGTGTTTCCTGATTTTAAAAGGCATTCTGAGAGTTTAGGAAGTCACTAAAAACAGGCTGAAGCATTTACTTCAGTGGAAATGGGCACATGCATGAAAGGTTAAATTCAAAAGAAAAAGAACTCCTTCGTACATTGACTACATGTTGCCTGGACTCTCTTGTCAGTAACTTTCTGGCTGTACGTAGTCTTTTCAGCACCTTTACAAGCCACACATGAGGTGAGCGTCATGTGTTGCCAGCCAGATCTACTGTTTGTGGCATAATGTTATAAATTAACTCCTAAAGCTGCTTCTCAGACATAAATACTTACTTAAAGCTGATGGGTCATTTTTTCCAAGTATTTTTTTTTTTCATTTTTAGTTAAATTTGACGATGTAGCAGCTCAGCAGGAAGCTCTGTTGTTTCGGGAGTTCAGTTTCAGCAGGTATATTTAGACCTTGTGACGCATCGCCCTGACATGACGCGGCATCAATTACTCTTGCTTTGTTTCCAGCGGTCGGAAAACCAGTTTTGCGAACCGGGACAAGAATGCGACAATACACTGACAGCAGCAGCAGCAGCAGCAGCAGCAGCAGCGTCTGACTAAAGCGTCCTCAACATATTTACACCTTTACAAAGGCTATTGTGCTGTTGCTCTTTTTGTAGTTACGCCAGCTTTAACTTGAGTGTAGTCGCACCTGCCAGTAAATCTGCATCGAGGATCGTGGCGTCATGATGACATAAGCACCAAATACAAGCTCATGATACAAGCACACAAGTATCTTACAATAACATTTAGTATGTTTTGAGATGTTAAATCATTTGTCTGTCTCTGTTTTTTTGTCACAGTGAAAATGGACCTCAGATCACCTACGTTCGAGACTTCAAAGCCAAAGTACAATACTTCAGATTCTGGTGCCAGGTAAGACTCAAGACGGGAAACAGTTTGACAGGATTTACTTATTCTTGAGCATCATGTTTCTTTCCCATCATTGCATCAGTAGACTGATTCAGTTTATTCTTTATTAGGAAAGAACTACCGTAATTTCCGGACTATAAGCCGCTACCTTTTTCACACGCTTTTAACACTACGGCTTCAACAATGGTGCGCCTAATTTATGGATTTTTACGATTTTTACAAATTTGCCTCGAGACAAAAGTCAGAGTGACAACGAAAGAGAGACTGAGGAAGTGTGTGACGAAGTAATTCTGAGGCTGTTCAATTTGGACACTGAAGAAGACGACTTTAGTGGTTTTAGTGCGGGAGGAAGATGAAGATAGCGATCAATGACTTCTCCTGGTAGGCTGCTGTAGTTTTAGTTTTTTAACCAGCTGTGTTACAGGAACTGTTTGGAAAAAAGCATTTACGTATTTGTGTATGTTACCGGTACACATTTAATTAAAAGTTTAAAAAATCTTTCTGTGTAAATCTCTCATGGACACCTGCAGCTTATAGACAAGTGTGGCCTGTATATGTACAAAACTGGTTTTCTTTGGTGCGGCTTATATGCAGGTGCGCTCAATAGTCTGGAAATTACAGTATTATTATTTTTTTGCGGTTACATATTATGTGCGAGGGATCATGCAATCATGCTTTTGCCATGTCGCTGCTCGTTTCACTGATAGGCTTAAAATAAAAACTGCAATCTTTGACTTTTGTGGTACAAGCTCGCCCAAATCAGGCATCGTGTGCGATAATAATAATCTTGCAAGATAAATTTGTGTCATTCTGTACTTGATGGGGCTGCGTCGCAATCTACTTTGAGTCATGTCAGTGATAATAATGCAAGAAATCAAGTTTATTTCAGGTAAATTTGTTTTTTGAAGTGATTAAATTAGCCATGTCTAAACTCACTTATTTATAGTTGAAACCAGAAGTTTACGTACACTGTATAAAAGGACACATAACCTTTTATTTCTCACTGTCTGACGTCAAATCAGACTAAACGTTTCCAGTTAGGATTATCAAAATCATTTCTATTTGCTAAATGCCAGAATAACGAGACAGAGAATTTTTTTAATTCCTTTCTTCAAAGTCAGAAGTTTACATACACTCACTTTTTATTCAGTGTATGTTGACTTCTGGTTTCAACTGTATATGTAGATTAATGACACCTGTGTGTGTTGGTCGTACATGTGCTGTAGAGGAGAGCGCAGTCCGTGCTTGTTTTAGTCTTTTATAGACATCAGCCAAACATCGTACAGTCAATACAGATGCAGACAGTAATAATTCAGTCTTCAGGGGTGGAGTGACTGCGACTCTTTAGCGTAAAAATGAATCACTAGGTGTCCTGCCATGACTAACTGGGTGCTAAATCCTCCTGACGTTTTTCCTTTTTTTCTCCAGCAACTGTCAATGCCTCAACACATCAAGATCACGGTGTCCAGAAAAACCCTGTTTGAGGACTCATTCCAGCAGGTACAGTGACTCACCGAAGCTTTTCCTCTCAAGCTGTTGTTGTTGTTGTTTGCTATTAAGGTATGGCGCTTTATCTACTCTGCCTCTAGCTACAGTGGTGCATTTGTTGGGTGGAACTCAAATGTATAATTTAAATATGTTGGTGTACACAAAAAAATCAATGATGGAGATGTACATTGTCCTGTATATCCATGTTTTATCTGGAGGGAATAGAGAATTAATATTAATGTGTAAATTCTACGTAGGAGCTCCTTATTATCTCTTATTATCGTTCCCATGTATAGTTTGAAGGGCTTGTGTTCATCTGTTACCACAGCATAACACAGAAAAAGTGCAGGGAGTACAGGTGAACATCTAATGAGGCACAGTGAATTGACTCCAAACCTGTTGCATGCACAAGTTTGCAGTTTTCTGGGTTGAAAAGTGCAACAGCGGTTCTGCAAATGTGCTTAAGAGCCTGAGAGAAGCTATAATATCCTGAGTTATTCTTCTGTGTACAGTGATACAGTGACCACACCACCAGTTTATTGTTTCATTCTCCTTATTTTAGATAATGAGCTTCAACAACGCTCAGGATCTGCGAAGGAGGCTCTGGATCATCTTCCCTGGAGAAGAAGGCCTCGACTACGGGGGCGTCGCCAGGTGAGTGAGAAACTGTGTGCTCTCGCAAGTTTTGTTGTTGCAGAACATGAAGTTCAATTGAAATTAGTTTG